CTGTGGTTTCCTAAAGAATACGTCTCGCTGGGTCAAACCGCAAACGCTCTGTTGGAGGGAAGTCAATGGATCGCCATGTAAATTTACTTTATGACTCCTTTGTGCCTTCGGTGGAGCAGTTTTGTAGACCTGGACGCTCGCTTTATAGATCCAGCTTAATATTACTCATTCCAAGATCAACTACACTTAAAAGTTTTTGACGGAAAAAAAGGGGTTTCTGACCAAAATAGGGTCGTGTGCTGTAGTACATCTACAGAACCGCAGAAACACAGACGCGGTTTCCAATGAACAAACCTCCTTTTTTCTGATGGATGAAATAATAAGCTTTAATTGATACTTCAGTAAACCGTAAAGCAGTCTCCATCTGTGGCTCAATGATGGCCAATGCAGATCGGCTTTTCTCCGATTCACTGCAGTTTAGATTATTAATAAAACACAAAAATAAGTTCTTCGTCAAGTACATTTATACAACCAGGTGAATTTAGTGATTTTGTGGCCATAAGCAATTTAAACCATGACACACTAAATATATATATATATATATATATAAGATTATTATTTATTATTATTATTGTACATTTTTTAGAAAGCCGTCAGGAAAGGGCAGGGTTTTTTATGCCAATAAAAGAAAAATATATATATTTCTTTCTAATTTTTTTATTATTAACCATGGCACACTTTTTATTTATTTATTTAATTATTTTTTAAAATATTTAAATTCTAATATTTATTAATTTGATCATTTTATAACTTTATTATTTATTTTATCGTTTACTTTTTTATTATTTTGTTATTTATTTTATTGTTTATTTTTTATTATTTATTTAACTTTTTATTTATTTATTTTCTTTTTTTTAATTAATTTTCAGAAAGCTGTCAGGAAATGCTGGGTTTTTTAATGGCAATAATAAAAGAAAATAAAAATGTATTTATTTATATTTTGTAAAATTTTGTAAAATATATATATTTACATATATATATATATATATATATATATATATATATATATATATATATATATATATACACACACACATTTCAATTTAAACCATAGCACACTTTTTATTTTATTATTAATTGATTGATTTATTTATTCATTCAATTTTAATATTTCATTCATTAATTATTTAATTTTTATAAATTTTTTATTTTTTTATTAATTTTCAGAAAAAATCTATTTTATTATTTATTTTATTATTATGATTTTTTAAATTAATTTTCACATTTCACATTTCAATTGAAACCATGGCACACTTTCCATTTAATTATTTTCTTTTTTATTTATTCTTTATTTATTATTTCTTTTTTACTGGTTAAATCTGCCCCTGCATTTAATCACTGTAAACTATTTTTTAACTAAGACAAACAAAGATTGTTGGAATACAATTATCCAATAAACTTCAGTTATTCTACTGATTTTATTTAATTTGTTGCTTGCCATATGCAATTATTTGTGCTGCGTATATGGAGTGAATAGTTTTAAACAGAGAAGAAAACATTACTTTTTATTTACAACAAGCAAAATATTAAACTAAGTACAGCATTTCTGGAAAAAATGCATTGCCTATTTTGCATACTGCATGTTTAGAATAAGTAGCAATCTTTAAGCTGTCACTTTCTAATAAAAAATAGTCATGTCTTCTTGGAGAAGCATGCAAATGAACTATGAATATGCTAACGAGCATTACTATATAAAGCCATCACTAATGCTGCGCTCACACAAGATGCGGATGAAGCGTCAATCACGAGGGATTTAAATGTTAAGTCAATGCAAAGATGCAAGTTTCTTGCTAATGAGCCAATGAGAATTACTGGAGTTGGAAAATCTTTAGCGGACATTCATGCCATGTTAACCAATTAGGAGCTTACTCTTGTAGGGGAGTGATTATGATGAAGTCCCTGTTGTTAGTATCCCAAGGGGAAACAACAGCTCCTCAAACTGGGCTCGGCTCAATCTGAAGCACTGCTGAAAGCTTCCATCATCCAGGTATAGTTTCTGGAGGAGATGTTGAACACACAGAGCTGTGTGCACCTCAGAAAGGATCTAGTGGACTCCGAACAAATCTATGCTGTTTTTCAGCCTTCCTAAAGCACATAAAACACAGCTACTCTCTCAATAAAATTCATGTTAGCCATTTAACAATGAAGCTAGCGTCACCTGGTAGACAGAAGGCCTGCCCATTAGGCGAATCCCCATCAACTCAAAATGTACATGCATGTATTTAAGTGTGAATAGCACGATTTATTTGCACGTGTTGTGTCTGGAGGTGTTATGCTGTGTTTACACCAGAGTATTTATCAGTGTACAACATTGTGCAATTCTGAGTGCGCTCCACAGAGGTGAGTGGGGCACACTCTCTCCTCTCTTTATGCACTAGACACTTATAAACACTCTGTATTTCTGGAAAAACATTGAGCAATTCTTAGCATATTTCAAGCAGGTGAGTGGGTCTGATAAACCACCTGTAGGACACTCTCCTCTCTCTATATGCACTAGACACTTAAAAACACTCAATATTTCTGGAAAAACTTTAAGCCTCTCTCCATATGCACCAGACACTTATAAACACTTGATATTTCTGGAAAAACGCTGAGCAATTCTTAGCATGTTTCAAGCAGGTGAGTGGGTTTGATAAACCACCTGTAGGACACAGTCTCCTCTCTCTATATGCACCAAAAACTTATAAACACTCGATATTTCTGGAAAAACTGAGCAATTCTATGTGTGCATCACTCAGGTGAGTGGGTTAGATAAACCACCTGTAGGACACTCTCCTCTCTCCATATGCACCAGACACTTATAAACACTCTGTATTTCTGGAAAAACATTGAGCAATTCTTAGCATGTTTCAAGCAGGTGAGTGGGTTTGATAAACCACCTGTAGGACATGCTCTCCTCTCTCTATATGCACCAGACACTTATAAACACTCGATATTTCTGGAAAAACTGAGCAATTCTATGTGTGCATCACTCAGGTGAGTGGGTTAGATAAACCACCTGTAGGACATGCTATCCCCTCTCCATATGCACCAGACACTTATAAACACTTGATATTTCTGGAAAAACGCTGAGCAATTCTTAGCATGTTTCAAGCAGGTGAGTGGGTTTGATAAACCACCTGTAGGACACTCTCCTCTCTCCATATGCACTAGACACTTATAAACACTCAATATTTCTGGAAAAACATTGAGCAATTCTTAGCATGTTTCAAGCAGGTGAGTGGGTTTGATAAACCACCTGTAGGACATGCTCTCCTCTCTCTATATGCACCAGAAACTTATAAACACTTGATATTTCTGGAAAAACTGAGCAATTCTATGTGTGCATCACTCAGGTGAGTGGGTTTGATAAACCACCTGTAGGACATGCTCTCCTCTCTCTATATGCACTAGACACTTATAAACACTCAATATTTCTGGAAAAACATTGAGCAATACTTAGCATATTTCAAGCAGGTGAGTGGGTTTGATAAACCACCTGTAGGACACTCTCCTCTCTCTATATGCACCAGAAACTTATAAACACTTGATATTTCTGGAAAAACTGAGCAATTCTATGTGCGCATCACTCAGGTGAGTGGGTTTGATAAACCACCTGTAGGACATGCTCTCCTCTCTCCATATGCACTAGACACTTATAAACACTCAATATTTCTGGAAAAACATTGAGCAATACTTAGCATATTTCAAGCAGGTGAGTGGGTTTGATAAACCACCTGTAGGACACTCTCCTCTCTCTATATGCACCAGAAACTTATAAACACTCGATATTTCTGGAAAAACTGAGCAATTCTATGTGTGCATCACTCAGGTGAGTGGGTTTGATAAACCACCTGTAGGACATGCTCTCCTCTCTCTATATGCACTAGACACTTATAAACACTCAATATTTCTGGAAAAACATTGAGCAATACTTAGCATATTTCAAGCAGGTGAGTGGGTTTGATAAACCACCTGTAGGACACTCTCCTCTCTCTATATGCACCAGAAACTTATAAACACTCGATATTTCTGGAAAAACTGAGCAATTCTATGTGTGCATCACTCAGGTGAGTGGGTTTGATAAACCACCTGTAGGACATGCTCTCCTCTCTCCATATGCACTAGACACTTATAAACACTCAATATTTCTGGAAAAACATTGAGCAATACTTAGCATATTTCAAGCAGGTGAGTGGGTTTGATAAACCACCTGTAGGACACTCTCCTCTCTCCATATGCACCAGACACTTATAAACACTTGATATTTCTGGAAAAACGCTGAGAAATTCTTAGCATGTTTCAAGCAGGTGAGTGGGTTTGATAAACCACCTGTAGGACGCTCTCCTCTCTCTATATGCACTAGACGCTTATAAACACTCAATATTTCTGGAAAAACTTTAAGCCTCTCTCCATATGCACCAGACACTTATAAACACTTGATATTTCTGGAAAAACGCTGAGCAATTCTTAGCATGTTTTTTCAAGCAGGTGAGTAGGTTTGATAAACCACCTGTAGGACATGCTCTCCTCTCTCTATATGCACTAGACACTTATAAACACTCTGTATTTCTGGAAAAACATTGAGCAATTCATAGCATGTTTCAAGCAGGTGAGTGGGTTTAATAAACCACCTGTAGGACGCTCTCCTCTCTCTATATGCACTAGACACTTATAAACACTCAATATTTCTGGAAAAACACTAAGCAACACTGAGTGTGCTTCATGCAGGTGAGTGGGTTTGATAAACCACCTGTAGGACACCCTCACCCTTCTCCAGATGCACTAGACACTTATAAACACTCGATATTTCTAGAAAAACATTGAGCAATTCTTAGCATGTTTCAAGCAGGTGAGTGGGTTTGATAAACCACCTGTAGGACGCATTCTCTCCTCTCCATATGCACCGCACACCTTCTTATACTTCGAGTCACTGATGATTTAAAGTGCTCCTTTTATCCTCACTTGCAAGTCACCTTGGATAAAAGCATCTGCGAAATGAGTAAACGTAACAAACTTACATCATGCTCTGCAGCTCAGGAATGAAGCTGGTGGCCTTGCCGGATCTGCTGCTGCTGCTGTTCGCTGTCATGGGGCTCGCAGCGCTGTTGCTCATCTGTAAAACACACACACACAACTTCACACACAACGCCCACTGAAAGCCACTTCACACACCGAACGCTTCCTGAAGCATCCAGAGCCACATGTTTAGAGCCGGACATTAGTGACAGACGGAGAGAGATGAAGTCAGAGACGCTGGACGCTGTTTTTAGCATGCAGGACTGAACTCTTTTTAATGAGCAAAAAGCAGGGCTGGTTAAACTACTGTAGGCAACCAGAGCTGATGAATGAGACTTTAGTTCAAAGCCAACAGCAGACGTGTTTAGAGTTGGTTTTGTTTGAGCGTTTACCAAACGTTTGATCGTGTCAGCATTACACGGCGTGATTAAAAGTGCATAATTATATATTTTCCAAAGAACATTTTAGCGGTGAGCTTGTTCAGAATTGAATTTCCAAACTCAAACTTGCTTTAATATTGAAATAACCTCCTTTTAATGAAATTATTTTCATAGTCATGTGTAGGGCTGCACAATATATCGTCTCAGCATTGATATCGCAATGTGAACATTGGCAATAGTCACATCGTAAGTATACGCAATAGCTATGTTTCCATTCACCTATTTTTATGAGCATTTTGAATACGTGCATTAAAAAAAACAGCAGATGAAAACGTCAAGATGCGCATAACTTTTGAAGATGTGCATAAAACATATACGCATGAGTGAGTAGGATAGAATTTATTCGATAAGAAAAGATGCACATAAATTATGATGGAAACACTTTTCCCGAACGAATTCCAGTATGCTCATTAAAAAAGGTCACGTGATTTTGAAATAAGTGATCATGTGACGACAAAAATGTGTGTGAAAGGATAAACCAGCAGAAAAACATATGCGCATGAGTGAGTAAGATAAATTTTGCAACATAATAAGCGCATATACTACGATGGAAACACTTTTCCTGAACAAATTCCAGTATGCACATTAAAAAAGGTCATGTGGTTTTGTTATAAGACATCATGTGATGATGAAAATTTCCATTTCAGTATTAGTGTTATTATATTATTATTAAGGGTGTCACAATCCTCCAAATCCTCGATTCGATTACATTTTCGATTGTAAAGGCACGATTCGATTCAATTTACGATTATGAATAATTAATTAATTAATGACCAATTAATTATTTGTAGCCTACCGTTTAAACTACCTGACCTGCATGGTCTTTGTTTTACCCATAAACAAATCATACAGTAAATGAATAAAGGCAAGATACACACATAATTACCACCTGTCAATCACTTTTTCTGCGGGACTCGTAAATAGGCAGTGATCTGTGTCGTTATAATGGCGTCGGTAAAAAAGACGCACAACCAACAGAAACCAGCCAACAGTATCTGAGGTGTTCGCTAAAATGACTAAGTACAAGTGAGTGAAAGATTGAAGCAGTCCTCTGACTGCCTGGACCTGCTCTCTCGAGCGCATGACTGTGTGCGTCTGTGTGGTCACGTGATGTGCATTTTCAGAGGTAGAGAGGAAGGAGGGCTACTCAGAAATGCTACACGCCACTGTGGATGTCAAATCGTTGTCGTTCTAAAATGCCATTTAAAAACAAAGACAGTGTAAACAGGGCCTCAGTGTGTACTTTTCGCGAGCGGATTTGCAACGGGGGCGGGCGGAGGATCGCGATGCCGGTGTTGTCTATCGGACGAACCGTACGTAATACGTACATAGCAGAGCTTGCAAAACTGTGTTTTTTTTTTGTCGACAACACGAACGTTGTCAACATAACTCACTGGAAATCCAAAATGCTTACACACCGACGACTTCATTGAAAGAGGAGAGGGTTTAAGTTCTGTCGACGGGTCTCCTGCTTCTGCAGTTTAACAAGCACTTCAACAAGCCTGTTTTTTTCCCGCTTGGCAAGAAAAGCTGACGTGACATGGGGGCGTGGCAGCATTGACGATTCTATTTTTTGATTCGATAATCGAAATTGAGCATAAATTTCGATCGATTTCGATTAAAAATCGAAATCGTGACACCCCTAATTATTATTGACCTCCGGAATCAAGAGCATCTATGCTCAGCGTCTGACACCTTCAAAAGCCACCTCACGTTCACTGCGTGTCAGAATTGCCTTCTAATAAAGTCATTTATTAAATAGAGAAAAGATTCACGCAGCTTCTCCGACCGCAGTAAATGACATTTTATCCTGTTGATATCTGCATATAACCCTAACCCAACATAGATATTTGTTGATGTATACAATAAAATAACAGAAAATACGCAATTTATCCTAAAATGATTAATATTTTATTAAAATATCACAAAATATTAATATCAAATGTGTATATTTTGTACATTGTCTGTACAAACTGTACATAAAATGTACACAAAACATAATTTGCATAATACTGAGAAAATAATTTTAAATAATAGTTGGCATCACACTATTATTTATAAAATTTATTAATAATATATATAAAGTGTCCATCATTTTTGTGATTTGGCTAATAATTCCAGCTCTGTAAAGCAACATTGTTATTCTCTAATGGAGCATAATGTGCTTCACCTGCAATATTGGCATATGTGCCGTCGAGCAGTTCATCACAGCTATCTGCGCAGTTTGCAGTTAGACTTCCTCCAACACAGAGAAAACAAATTAACAGGATGCTGATAAAAGGCCAGAAATGGAGCTTGTCGAATTCAAATGTGCTCATTGTGTGCCTTGCACTGATTTCCATTCAGATTTGAGAGCAGGTGAATCGTCACAACACACCGGCCTCATCTGAATAAAGCTGAAACTGCACGAGCGAGTCAGAAACCACAGCTTCCTACAGCATCAGACTATCAAATCTCTCCAGTGGACGGTCCTTTTCTCACGTAAACCCTAATAATACTTCTGTGCAATCATCATTACAGTGTTGGACCAATAGCCGAGTTTCCATCCTAATGTGAAGGGAATATTTTTAAAGATCCTTTTGTTTCCTTTCATCACAATCTGAAATCTGCTCTATTTAAAATGAGACCAAGTTTTACTCTGTACACCAAAGTGGTGATGACTTTAGAAGACTCAAAATACAGCCCAAACTAACTTTAATCAACATGTATACCAAATGCCTTCAAAAGAGCACCCAGGATATTTTTTAAAAAATGTCCTATTTCATGTTCCTCAAGAATAACAGCAGCACTTGGGGTTGGAATGACATGAAGGTGAATAAACAAAGGCAGGATTGTCATTTTCAGCTAACCTCTTCTTTAATCAGAGCCAAAGATACTTAGAGTGGTAAAGCATTACTTTGCTACAGCAATCCACATGTAAAGTTTTGTTTAGATGTTTTTCAGAGGTGAAACTCAAATCAAATACCCCCAGAATGCTCATATTGTATTTTAATACCATATACATTTATTGGTTTAGAATTTTCCTAAACATATAAGGGACATGACATTTTTCCTTATTTTTTCTATTTTACTTCTGCTACAATCTGACTTCTGCCCTCTTTAAAACGAGACCAAGTTTAACTTAATAGGCAATCCTTTAAGTTGACCATGCCGATGTTAAAAAAAGTGGGGGTGACAGTTAAGAGTTTAACAAGTATAAAACATAAGCTATTATTTACAGACAATCTTCCTCTGCAACACTTCAATCTCATCAATGCTCATATATAACAAACTCAAAAAACGTCAAACCGAAGCGAATCCAGTGTGCACATGCAGAACGAAAAACTGAATTTCTAAACTATGACAAAGCAATGATTTCAGGCTTGTCGTATGACTTTAGAAGACTCAAAATACAGCACAAACTAACTTTAATCAACATGCATCCCAAATGCCTTCAAAAGAGCACCCAGGATATATATAAAAAAATGGCTATTTCATGTTACACAAGAATAACAGGAGCACTTGGGTTTGGAATGACATGAAGGTGAATAAACGAAGGGAAAATTGTCATTTTCAGTGAACCTCTCCTTTAATCTGAGCCAAAGATACTTAGATTGGTAAAGCATTACTCTGCTACAGCAATCCACATGTAAAGTTTTGTTTAGATGTTTTTCAGAGGTGAAACTCAAATCAAATACCCCCAGAATGCTCATATTGTATTTTAATACCATATAATTCCTTGGTTTAGAATTTTCATAAACATAAAAGGCACATAACTTTTTTTTCCTTTCATTTATTTTTTCTATTTTACTTCTGCTACAATCTGACTTCTGCCCTCTTTAAAACGAGACCAAATTTAACTTGACTGCCAATCCTTTAAGTTGACCATGCCGATGTTAAAAAAGTGGGGGTGACAGTTAAGAGTTTAGCAAGTATAAAATATAAGCTATTATTCACAGACATTATAACAAACTCGAAAAGACATCAAACCAAAGCGAATCCAGTGTGCACATGCAGAACGAAAAACAGAATTTCTAAGCTATGATGAAGCAATGATTTCAGGCTTGTCGTATGACTTTAGAAGACTGAAAATACAGCACAAACTAACTTCAATCAACATGCATCCCAAATGCCTTCAAAAGAGCACCCAGGATATTAAAAATAAATGGCTATTTCATGTTCCACAAGAATAACAGCGGCACTTGGGTTTGGAACGACATGAAGGTGAATAAACGAAGGGAAAATTGTCATTTAAGTGAACCTCTTCTTTAATCTGAGCCAAAGATACTTAGAGTGGTAAAGCATTACTTTGCTTCAGCAATCCACATGTAAAGTTTTGTTTAGATGTTTTTCAGAGGTGAAACTCAAATCAAATACCCCCAGAATGCTCATATTGTATTTTAATACCATATAATTCCTTGGTTTAGAATTTTCAAAAACAAAAAAGGCACATAACTTTTTTTTCCTTTCATTTATTTTTTCTATTTTACTTCTGCTACAATCTGACTTCTGCCGTCTTTAAAACGAGACCAAGTTTAACTTGATTGTCAATCCTTTAAGTTGACCATGCCGATGTTAAAAAAGTGGGGGTGACAGTTAAGAGTTTAGCAAGTATAAAATATAAGCTATTATTCACAGACATTATAACAAACTCGAAAAGAGATCAATCCAAAGCGAA